TAATTGGCACACCACCTTCACACCATAAATAACACAAGAATTCTAAGTTTAAATTTATTCACATTGTCCTGAATTGACAAAGTTAGATGCTTCTTTATTTACAATCAATATACATTATATACTGGTACATGATTTATGCAGCTTCTTCATCTTCACCTTCCTCCTCATCAAATTCACCCTCTTCCTCAGCTGTTGCATCCTGGTATTGTTGGTATTCAGATACCAAGTCATTCATGTTGGATTCGGCTTCAGTGAATTCCATCTCATCCATACCTTCACCAGTGTACCAATGCAAGAAAGCCTTACGACGGAACATAGCAGTGAACTGTTCAGAGATACGCTTGAAGACTCTTGGATGGCCGTACTGTTACCGATGAAAGTGGCAGACATCTTGAGACCACGGGGTGGAATGTCACAGACAGCGGTCTTAATGTTATTTGGGATCCATTCAACGAAGTAGCTGCTGTTCTTGTTCTGGACGTTCAACATCTGCTCGTCAACTTCTTTCATAGGACATACGTCCACGAAAGATTGCAGCCACTGTGAGATAACGACCATGACGTGGGTCACAAGCAGCCATCATATTTTTGGCATCGAACATTTGTTGGGTTAACTCTGGTACAGTGAGTGCACGGTATTGCTGGCTACCACGGCTAGTTAATGGAGCGAAACCAGGCATGAAGAAATGCAGACGTGGGAATGGTACCATGTTGACAGCCAATTTACGGAGATCGGCGTTCAATTGGCCAGGGAATCGCAGGCAGGTGGTCACACCACTCATTGTCGCTGACACCAAATGGTTCAAGTCACCATAAGTAGGAGTGGTCAGTTTCAATGTACGGAAGCAGATATCGTAGAGGGCTTCATTGTCAATACAGAACGTTTCATCAGTGTTCTCAACAAGTTGATGGACTGAAAGGGTTGCATTATATGGTTCAACAACAGTGTCTGATACTTTTGGTGATGGTACAACACTGAACGTGTTCATGATGCGATCTGGATATTCTTCACGGATCTTGCTGATGAGAAGTGTGCCCATACCAGAACCAGTACCGCCACCAAGGGAGTGAGTCAACTGAAAGCCCTACCAATGAAAAAAAAATAATTTGTTAACA